CAAGATACTACCTTGAATATTGCACTTTAATACTAGAAAAATAATAATTGATAGGTTTCAAAACCTAATCAAATATTCTAGATTTAATATATATGAAACTACATAGCATGCACATCATGAATATCAAGTCGGAAATCCAACGGGATGAATAGTGCACTTGGAGCAATTTAATTAATCTCAAAACACTTCCAATTTCTCTCAAATTCACCTATGTTGAAAAGTATGCCAAGGCCTAATATAACAGGCTAACACATATTGATTTCAAGCTAGTTAAGGCCACATGATTTAATATTTTATTCAAGATAAATATTAAATAAAATCTTCAATACTTGTCCAAATGATCTAGATTTAATATATGTTAATCAACATATCAATGGGCAATATTCTATCATGCCACGTGTTTAAACAAAGCTATGGACAACCGGAAAAATTAAATCCTTCACAAGAAAAATAAATAATAAAATCTCTAGATTTTATATCCAAGCATGTAATCAAGTTGTATAAGCATCACAAGCATGTAATATAACTAGAAAGTAAATTATAACACCCCCTACCTCAATTTGAGATAAAAATCTTAAAAGCCCACTGAAAAAAAAAGTCTTCCGAATCCGCCGAAACTCCTAGGTTTTATCGGGGACAACACGATCTACATGAATCCCCAAAAAGGCCCAAGAAAATTACAACTTAACTTCAAACCCGAACTCAAGAAATGGTCAGAAATGAATTATAGTAAGGGGGAATGGTAGAGCACGTCGAGGGGAACAATAAATGTAAAGGCTGAAGAATTTCTACCAAGGAAATCAAGTGGAGGAGAAGGAGAAAGAGTGGTAGCCAAGGAGCTTCCATGGCTGCTAGCCAAGATGGTGGAGAAGATGAAGAAAATCTGAATTTTCTTCTTTAAGTCCCTTATTTATAGTAAGTCTCAAAAAGTGCCCCAAAAAGGCCCCACCGGGTCCGGAAAGTGGAATTTGAGCAAACGCGCTCAAACGGCAAAACTCTGTGAACAAAAAAGATTCAAAATGATAAAATATAAACAAAGGAAGAAACGGCGTCAAAAATTGAGTCCCGAGCAGAGAGTTATGCCCCGAACTAGTTTGGCGGCAACCGGGTCCAAAAACCCTGAAACTGGAGAAAAATGACCAGAAGGAAATTCCAAGAGTACATGACTCAACGAAATATGAAAATGAATCCCGTACGAGGATCCAAGCTCCAAACGAGGAATTTTGCAATAACTTTCGTTAATTGCACAATGGCTCCTACAAAAAGGGTTAACTGCGAAATTTCTCCAGAATGAAAATATCTTCCAAAAGATATTTTCTTAGATACCCCTAAAATAAAATATCTTCAAAAGATATTTACGAAAAATGCCCCAAGAAAGGAAAGTAATTCCAAAGAATTATGCATCCATGCCCTTATGGACACCGGGAGTAACCAGAGTACTTTTTTGCAAAAGTAAAGATACGTATTTTGAGGAAACCACTGAAGATGAAGGCACGTGAAGTCAAAAACTAACTCCGAGCACGAAAAGTGAGGTTGCGCCAAAAACTGGTAAACGGGGAAAAGACAGAATAGGGAAAGGACGAAATAGGGAAAAGACCAAAGTGAATAGTGTCCCGAAAAGTGAAAATACGGAAATGACTCGGTCCTCAAAGGAAGTTGTCAATCCACACGAAAGAGTCTCAGAAGCCAATTCTGAGCACTCGAGATGACACTAAACGACGAGAAACAGATCTCAGAAAAGAGAATTAAACGGAAAAAATTTATCCGTAAAATTTCAGGAAAAAAAGAAAGGGAGTCAAAAGACCGGGTCATTACATCATTTCTATAAACAATTAATTGCAAGTATGAGAATTGTTCACAAGTGCATGGTACGTGGTACCTAGAAATGTTTGCACATGTTTCTTATATATTCATGGGTATGGTAGCAAATATAAATTATTGAAGTGGTGGCAGGTATTGGGAAGAAAAGAAATATATATATATATATATATATATATATATATATATAATTATAATAAATGAATAGGGTGTAAATATTGAAGTACATGTGTGATGCCATGGGTGTGTTTGTGCTAGAAGTATATGCTAGTGACTTATTCTTATAGATAAAATTATATTAAGTCAAAACTTACTTTACAAGCTTTAAAGTTGGTAAGGTAAATTGTTGGGCCCAATTGAGAACCATGCCTATGTATATATATCATTAAGTCTTGTGTGGGTAAAAGCTTAATTAGAAAAGTGTTCTAACTGCCACTGTACATATATATCCAAGACTACTCACTCAATCACACACACATGGTCAATATTCATGTATAGATATATATTTGTGTGGAGGCTTGCTGTTGGACCGCTTGAATCATCCTACTTATCTATGTGGGTTAATTAAAATATAATAAAAAGGAAGCCAATAGGTTATTTTGTTTTAGTGTTGCCAGCACAAACCATCAGTGCTCATACACTCAACACGTCACAAAGTGCCTTTAAGGAGCCTTTTGAACCGAAGTAGGAAAGGAGTGTTAGAAAGACAAAAAAGAAAAAGAAAAAAGAGAGAGAGAGAGAGAGAGAGAAATAGAAAGGGGTTTCGGCCATCGAAGAAGAAAAGAGAAGAAAGAAAGAAAAAGAAAAATCTGCATCTTGGGATGGCAGGAAAATTATTGGGTACAGGTAGAGAGTTTTGGATTTTATTGGAGATTTTATATTGGAAGTTTTTTCAATTAAATTCTTTAAGACTTGAATTGGGATGTTTTGCTTAATTTTATTTATTTATTTGTTTCTCTCTTAATTGTGTTATTAAGCTCTATAAAGTGATATAAATCTTGCTGGATTCAAACATGGGAGAAGGATTTTGAATTAGTAATTCTATGTTAGAAGTTATTATCTAATTTCCGTAGTAATGAGTGCTTCAATTAACTCTTCCAGTTTACATAACATATAATTGATTCAAAGGCTGTTTTGTGGTTGTACTTGATTCAAGGACTATTTATTTGAATTAATATCATGGGTGTTGTTTGGGGAATTGTCAGGCTGGAAATTGATATAAAGGAGCTATGACTAGAATTGTAAATTTTGTATAAAATTTGAGATTTATACTTGAAGTGATAATTGTGAATATATTTTATTTAGAAATGGGTATAATGTAATTACAATTTTATTCAGGCAAAGATAAGGAGATGGAAGCTTCGACATTGCCAAGGGATAAGTAAATAATTCGGGAAGTAGCCAAGGTGAGTGTACTCACTTGAAGTTTATACTTGAATGGGTATGTTGAAGTATTGAAGATATTAATGTGGAAATGCTTATATATATATTAAATAAGGTCCATACTCTGGCCTGGAAGGAGAGTAATATATTAAATAAGGTCCATACTCTGACTCAGAAGGAGATTACTATATTTAAATAAGGTCTATACTCCGGCCTAGAAGGAGAGTACTATATTATATAAGGTCCATACTCTGGCCTAGAAGGAGAGTACTATATTTTAATGCTTGTAAAGCTAGAAGTTATATGTTATAAAGTTAATTTGAAGTTATCAGATAATATTTGTTTATATTACTCTGATGTAATAGTGTTGCATTTACTGGGCTTTAGGCTCATTCCTTCCATATCTTTATTTTCTCAAGTATCAGGTTGGGTAGCTACTGTCATGTCTAGAGTCTTGAGTGTGACTGGGGAAAATGAAAATGGAACATCTTCTGTATAAGATGTAAATATTATAGTAGAATTTAATAGTGTAACTTGTGATTAACGTTTTAGTTTTGTCAGAACTGCATAATGGGCTTGTAGTTTGCTTAAAATTATAAACTGTTAAACAGGTACTCTAATGTAGGATGACGTCATAATTGAATGAGGTTAATGCAGATGGTTAGATGCATTCCAAGTTGTTCAGTTTATTAAATATTGTAAATTGGGTTGGGGTGTGTCAACTTCTGGTATCAGAGCCTAGGTTTTCTAGGTTCCGGAGGTAGTAAGAATCTTTACTAGCAGTGGCTGTAGGAAGTGTGTGGTAAAGTCATTTCTTTAACTTGATTTTATACTAACAAATATATGTGGTGATTATGTATCATATATATATGTTGTTATATTTGAGATTTATTGCAGATAAAAATTAATGGAAGGAGGAAGTGGTTATTATAGAATCGAGGAAGAAGCCTCTTATGTTCCTGTTGAGGCTGAAGTGGAACAACCTATTCTGGGTGGTATGAGAAGAGAATAGGAGTACTTAACTGGTATGCAGAAAATGGAGAAGGCTATAACAGCCTTGGCAGAACAAAACAAACAATTTATGGCAAGTTAAATGATGATATAAGAAAAGCTGGAAAGATAACATAAAGGAAAGAAAGGCTCAGATTATGAGAGGTTCATCAAGTTAACACCCCAGAATTTTCAAGTACTACCAAACCAGAAGAAGCAGAGGGGTGGGTAATTAGAATGGAATCGATATTTGCAATGATGGGTGCAGCAAAAGACCAGAAGGTAAACTTAGCTACATTTATGTTCAAAAATGAAGCTAGTTATTAGTGGGACACGACAAAACATTTATTGGTCATTCCAGGAGAGAAAGAGGTGATATTATGGAACCCATTTGTTAATGCTTTTTATGAGAAATATTTTCCTCCAATTTATAGAAAAGAGAAGGAACAGGAGTTTATTCTCCTAAAACAAGATAGAATGTCTTTAGTTGATTATGAAGTTAAGTTTACAGCTTTATCGAGGTTTGCACCCAAGTTTGTATAGTATGAAGAAGATAAATGTACAAAATTCCAGGTTGGTTTAGAGGCAGCTATTAAGTCCAGAGTTTCAGTGTTTGAGGAAACATATTACAACAGACTTGTGAATAAAGCCATGATTGCTGAAAGGGATGTGAAAGAATTGTAAGAAAGAAGGGAACAATACAAAAGAAATAGATCGAAGCCATCACAGTCAAGAGGAGGGGAAGGAATTTCAAGTTAGAAAATTCAAAAGTCGCGGTATGGAAGGGGAAGGGGTAGTGAATCTCGCAGATGTTAGGTATTAGGAGAGGTCAAGGGTTTTTTGAACAACAATCTGTACAACAAGGTAGCTTTAGAGGACGTGGTACTGGCAGGGGGTGTTTTCAGTGCGGAAGGGAAGGCCACCAGAAGAAGGATTATCTTGTATTGAAAGCAAAAGAGTGCTATCACTGCCACCAGCTGTGTCATCGGAAAAGAGATTGTCCTATGTTGGCAAGAGTGACTTCAGTGGCTAGTGTTACCGGTTCTGGTAGAGGTTTTGCACAGGGGAGCTCGTCAAGAGGAGGTAGGGGTGTTACAAGTGGTTTGCAAGCCCAGGGAAGAGTGTTTGCTATGACACTTGAGGATGCTCAAGCAACACCAGAAGTGGTGACAGGTACACTTTCTATTTTGGATAGAAATGTTACTGTGCTTATTGATCCTGGCTCAACTCATTCATTTGCTGCATTATCTATTGCTATACATTTGGGTAGACCACTTTCATTACTAGATAGTAAATTGTTTATTTCTACACCAATGGGTGAAATGGTAGTGGTTGCAAATGAATATTGGGATTGTGTTTTACAATTGGAAGATAGACAGTTAAAGGTGAATTTTATACCGTTGGGTATACCAGATTTTGATATCATTTTGGGTATGAATTGGTTATCTGTGTATCATGCTTCAATGGATTGTTTCCGGAAAAAAAATGTATTTCAGATACCAGGGGAGCCAGAATTCAGATTTACCGGAGAAAGAAATATTATTCCAAACTGTCTCATCTCAATTATACAAACCAGAAAGTTGTTGAAGAAAGGGTGTCAGGGTTACTTGGCTTATGTGGTTGATACTGAAAATAAAGAGGTGACACTTGAACATGTACTAGTGGTACGAAAATTCACAGATGTATTTCTAGAAGAATTACCAGGGTTGCCAGTGGACAGAGGGGTAGATTTTACCATTGAGTTGGTATCGAGACCAACTCCAATTTCTATCGCTCCGTATCGAATGGCACCAACAAAATTGAAAGAGTTGAAGATACAATTGTAGGATTTACTGGATAAGGGCTTCGTTTGACCTAGCATTTCACCGTTGGGTGCACCGGTGTTATTTATTAAGAAGAAGGATAGTACTATGTGGTTGTGTATTGACTACAGACAGTTAAATAAAGTAACCATCAGAAACAAGTATCCATTGCCACGAATTGATGATCTGTTTGATCAGTTGCAAGGGGCAAAGGTGTTCTCTAAGATTGACTTGAGGTCAGGATATCACCAGTTGAAGGCAAATGATAGTGACATTTCTAAAACTGCTTTTCGAACTCAATATGGCCATTATGAGTTTTTGGTAATGCCTTTTGGGTTAACCACTGCTCCAGCGGTGTTTATGGATTTATTGAATCGAGTATTTCATCAGTATGTTGACTCTTTTGTTATTTTCTTCATCGATGATATTTTGATATATTCTCGGAGTGTGGATGAACATGAAAAACATTTAAGAATTGTGTTACAGATTTTACAGGAAAAATAACTTTTTGCTAAGTTCAGCAAATGTGAGTTTTGGCTTGATAAAGTTGTATTTTTGGGGCATGTAGTATCTGGGGATGGTATTTATGTTGACCCATCAAAAGTGGAAGCAGTGGTGAAATGGGAAAGGCCTACTAATGTGACAGAAGTTAGAAGTTTTCTGGGATTAGTAGGTTATTACCGGAGGTTCATCCAAGGGTTTTCTAGGATCACATTGCCATTAACAAAGTTGACCTGGAAGGAAGTAAAGTTTATGTGGAGTGAGGAATGCCAAAGAAGTTTTGAAAAATTGAAGAAAAAGTTAACGTCAGCCCCAATGTTAACCATTCCTTGTGGTGGCGAAGGTTTTGTGATTTACACTGATGCTTTACATCAGGGTTTGGGTTGTGTTTTTATGAAGAATGGCAAGGTAATTGCATATGCTTCTAGACAATTAAAGAATCATGAATTGAATTATCCTACACATGACTTGGAGTTAGCTACTATTGTTTTTGCTTTGAAATTGTGGAGGCATTATCTGTACGGTGAAATTTGTGAAATATTCACTGATCATCGGAGTTTGAAGTATTTGTTTACACAGAAGTGCTTAAATTTGAGACAGAGGCGTTGGATGGAGTTAATCAAAGATTATACTTGTAATATCCACCATCATCTTGGAAAAGCCAATATAGTAGCAGATGCCTTGAGTAGGAACTCTTCAGGGAGACTATCTTGTGTATAGTGTGCACGGGTGGAAAATATTATGGAATTGAGACTGATGGGAGTTGAATTGACAGTTACTAACAAAGGAGCATTGTTTGCACATATTACGGTGAGACCTTTGTTGCTGGATCGAATTAAAGAGTTGTAAATTCATGATGTATTCCGGATAAGAAAAGAAGAGAAGCTCAAGAAGGTATGCCAACTGAATTTACAGTTAGGGATAATGGGATTTTGTATTTTAAAAGTCGAATTTGTGTTCCAAATGATGTTTCTTTAAAGAAAGATATTTTAGATGAAGCCCACAGTTCTATATATGCTAGGCATCCAGGGAGTACTAAAATGTATAGGTATTTGAAAGAATACTATTGGTGGAACAATATAAAGCGTGAAATTACAAAATTTGTAGCAAAGTGTTTGATATGTCAATGAGTGAAAGCTGAACATCAGAAGCCAGCAGGGTTGTTGCAGCCGTTACCAGTTCCACAGTGGAAATAGGAGCATGTAACCATGGATTTTGTGATGGGACTTCCAAGATCAAAATGAGGACATGACTCTATTTGGGTGATAGTTGATAAATTGACGAAATCAGCTCATTTTTTGGCAGTAAAAACTACTTATTCTACAAAGGAATATGCTCATTTGTATGTTAATGAAATTATATGTTTGCATGGGGCTCTAGTTTCTATTGTTTGTGATAGGGATCCGAAATTCACTTCTAGATTTTGGTGTAGTTTGTATGAAGCCATGAAAACTTCTTTGAAGTTCAGTACAACTTTTCACCCGTAGACAGATGGGCACTTAGAACGAACTATTCAGATTTTGGAAGATATGTTGAGAGCTTGTGTGCTGGATTTCAAAGGTAGTTGGGATGATTATTTACCATTGATAGAATTTGCTTATAATAATAGTTATCAATCTACTATTGGGATGGTACCATATAAAGCATTGTATGGGAGGAAATGTAGAACTCCATTGTGTTAGGGTGAAGGGGGTGAAAGAAAGTTATTGGGTCCAGAATTAATTGAACTTACAACAGAAAAAGTGAAGGTAATTCAGTAGCGTATGAAAGTAGCACAAGATAGACAGAAAAGTTATATGGATGTGCGAAAAAGAAGGGATTTGGAGTTTGAAGTTGGTGATTTTGTTTTTCTTCGTATTTCTCCTTGGAAGGGTATTATAAGGTTTGGAAAGAAGGGTAAATTAAGTCCCAGGTACATTGGACTATACAAAATTCTGGAATGGATAGGAACAGTAGCGTATCGGTTGGAATTACCAGAAGAATTATTAAGATTACATGATGTTTTCCATGTATCTATGCTTCGGAAGTATATATCGGATCCATCTCATGTTTTAGTTGCGGAACCGATAGAGTTGAAGGAAGATTTAACTTATGTAGAGGAACCGGTACAAATTTTGGATCATCGAGAACAAGTGCTTCGCAATAAAACTATATTATTGGTAAAAGTGTTGTGGAGGAGTCACACAGTTGAAGAAGTAACTTGGGAAAGCGAGGAAACTATGAGAATGCAATATCCTCACTTATTTGGTATGTTTCATACATTTCAATTTCAAGGACGAAATTTATTTTAAGAGGGGTATATTGTCATATCCTGCTTTGTTTTAGCTTTGTCATTATTATTATGAGCTTGTTAATATTTGTTTGAGCTTAAATACTTATATTTAATTGCGTTGGAAAACAAAATAAGAAATTTCATTTCTATAAACAACTAATTGCAAGTATGAGAATTGTTCACAAATGCATGGTACGTGGTACCAAGAAGTGTTTGCACATGTTTCTTATATATTCATGGGTATGGTAGCAAATACAAATTTTTGAAGTGGTGGCAGTTATTGGGAAGAAAAGAAATATATATATATAATTATAATAAATGGAGAGGGTGTATATATTGAAGTACATGTGTGATGCCATGGGTGTGTTTGTGCTAGAAGTATATGCTGGTGGCTTACTCTTATAGATAAAATTATATTAAGCCAAAACTTACTTTATAAGCTTTAAAGTTGGTAAGGCAAATTGTTGGGCCCAATTGAGAACCATGCCTATGCATATATATCATTAAGTCTTATGTGGGCAAAAGCTTAATTAGAAAAGTGTTCTAACTGCCAGTGTACATATATATCCAAGACTACTCACTCAATCACACACACATGGTCAATATTCATGTATAGATATATATTCGTGTGGAGGTTTGCTGTTGGACCGCTGGAATCATCCTACTTATCTATGTGGGTTGATTAAAATAAAATAAAAAGGAAGCCAGTAGGTTATTTTGTTTAGTGTTGGCAGCACAAACCATCAGTGTTCATACACTCAACACGTCACAAAGTGCCTTTAAGGAGCCTTTTGAACCGAAGTAGGTAGGGAGTGTTTGAAGGACAAAAAAAAAAAAAAAAGAAAAAAAAGAGAGAAAGAGAGAGAAATAGAAAGGGGTTTCGGCCATAGAAGAAGAAAAGAGAAGAAAGAAAGAAAAAGAAAAATCTGCAGCTTGGGACAGCCAAAAAGAAAAGGGAAAAGAGTTTCTGATAGGAAAATTATTAGGTACAGGTAGAGAGTTTTTGATTTTATTGGAGATTTTGTATTGGAAGTTTTTTCAATTAAATTCTTTAAGACTTGAATTGGGATGTTTTGCTTAATTTTATTTATTTATTTGTTTCTCTCCTAATTGTGTTATTAACCTCTATAAAGTGAATATAAATCTTACTAGATTCAAACCTGGGAGAAGGATTTTGAATTAGTAATTCTATATTGGAAGTTATTATCTAATTTCTTTAGTAATGAGTGCTTCAATTAACTCTTCCATTTTACATAACATATAATTGATTCAAAGGCTGTTTTATGGTTGTACTTGATTCAAGGATTGTTTATTTGAATTAATATCTTGGGTGTTGTATAGGGAATTGTCAGGTTAGAAATTGATATAAAGGAGCAGTGACTAGAATTGTAAATTTTGTATAAAATTTGAGATTTATAGTTAAAGTGATAATTGTGATTAAATTTTATTTAGAAATGGGTATAATGTAATTACAATTTTATTTAGGCAAACATAAGGAGACGGAAGCTTCGACATTGCCAAGGGATAAGTAAATAATTCGGGAAGTAGCCAAGGTGAGTGTACTCATTAGAAGTTTATACTTGAATGGGTATGTTGAAGTATTAAAGATATTAATGTGGAAATGCTTATATATATATTAAATAAGGTCTATACTCTGGCTTGGAAGGAGAGTAATATATTAAATATGGTCCACACTCTGACCTAGAAGGAGAGTACTATATTTAAATAAGGTCCATACTCTGGCCTAGAAGGAGAGTACTATATTATATAAGGTCCATACTCTGGCCTAGTAGAAGAGTATTATATTTTAATGCCTGTAAAGCTGGAAGTTATATGTTATGAAGTTAATTTGAAGTTATCGGATAATATTTGTTTATATGACTCTGATGTAATAGTGTTGCATTCACTGGGCTTTAAGCTCACTCCTTCCATATCTTTATTTTCTCAGGTATTAGGTTGGGTTGCTATTGTCAGGTCTAGAGTCTTGAGTGTGACTAGGGAAAATGACAATGGAACATTTTCTGTATAAGATGTAAATATTGTAGTAGAATTTAATAGTTAACTTGTAATTAACGTTTTAGTTTTGTCGAAATTGCATAATGGGCTTGTAGTTTGTTTAAAATTGTAAACTGTTAAATAGGTACTCTAATGTAGGATGACGTCATAATTGAATGAGGTTAATGCAGATGGTTAGATGCATTCCAAGTTGTTCAATTTGTTAAATATTGTAAATTGGGTTAGGGTGTGTCAACTTTTGGTATCAGAGCCTTGGTTTTCTAGGTTCTGAAGGTAGTAAGAGTCTAGACTTGCAATGGCAGTAGGAAGTGTGTAGTAAAGTCATTTCTTTGACTTGATTTTATACTAACAAGTATTTGTGGTGATTATGTATCATATATATATGTTGTTATATTTGAGATTTATTGCAGATAAAAAGTAATGGAAGGACGAAGTGGTTATCATAAAATCGAGGAAGAAGCCTCTTATATTCCTGTTGAGGCTGAAGTGGAATAACCTATTCAGGGTGGTATGAGAGGAAAATAGGAGTATTTAATTGGTATGTAGAAAATGGAGAAGGCTATAATAGACTTGGCAGAACAAAACAAATAATTTATGGCAAGTCAAATGATGATACAAGAAAGGCTGGAAAGACAACAGAAAGTAAAGAAAGGCTCAGATTATGAGAGGTTTATCAAGTTAACACTCCCAGAATTTTCAGGTACTACCAAACCAGAAGAAGCAGAGGGGTGGGTAAGAAGAATGGAATCGATATTTGCAGTGATGGGTGCAGCAGAAGACCAGAAGGTAAACTTGGCTTCATTTATGTTCAAAAATGAATCTAGTTATTGGTGGGATACGACAAAACATTTATTGCTCATTCCAGGAGAGAAAGAGGTGATATTATGGAACCCATTTGTTAAAGCTTTTCATGAGAAATATTTTCCTCCAATTTACAGAAAAGAGAAGGAACGGAAGTTTGTTCTCCTAAAGCAAGATAGAATGTCTGTAGTTGATTATGAAGTTAAGTTTACCGCTTTATCGAGGTTTGCATATGGGATTGTGCTCAAGCTCTATAAACACCAGTGCTCAAGCAGAAAGTTCTCTACTCGAGGTTTTTGAGACAAATTTTTATTTTTTCATTTTAATTTTTCTAAAATAAACCTAAACCTAACCTAAGCTAATCTAACCTAAAATTTCCTCTTTCTCGCCCATCCTAAGATAGCTTACTTGTCAATCTCTTTCCATTTCCTCACCATTCTAAAATGGTTCAATGTCCTTCTCATTCGAAATTCCCAATATGCCATGCATATGCATCAATTCAACTTCAATTCCTAACTATACAATAGCAATGACCTTTTTTTTTTTTTTTTTTTTGTTTTTTTTTTTTTTCTTGGGTACAATAGCAATGACTTCAACATGGCATTCTTTATGATTTAACCATAAGTATAGCATTCTCAATACTATAATCACAAACATGCTTCCTATGTAGTTCATACCAACAAAATCATGCTATAATCAACAATTTAACAATTTTTGCACCAAGCTAGGCCATGTTATACACATCTTTAGCATGAAAATAAACATATTCGTACTTCATACACTAACATGCTTTTATAATATCAACACATAGCCACCTTATTTCACAATTTCACATCCAAGAATGAGAATAAGAGAAATCATAGCAATTTGCTCAATCAAAGGTAAAATTTAGAACATTAGGAAACCCCTACCTCAAAAGTGTGTAACCAAAGAAGCCCTTAACCGTAGCCCAAATTTTAAATTCTCCATACCCTTGCACAATTGGTGTCAAATGAAAGCACTCTCTGAGTAGAACAAGACTCCCTTCTTGGCCTTTATCAAAATCTAACTCTAAGCACCTTAAATATTGGCGTAAATCAATGGAGGTGTGATATTGTAATGACCCGGTCATTTCCCTTCTCTATCCTTTTTCGACATTTTTCATTTTTTCATCTTTTCCCTATTTCGTCTTTTCCCGGTTTCCATTTTCGTTCCATAACCAAAATTTTTGTGTTTGGATTTGATTCTGACTTTGCATGCATCCACAATATTTAATTTCCATGATATGTATATTTTTACTTTTGTAGAAAAGCATACTTGATGTTTACTTTTCTTGTAAAGGGTATGGATGCATAATTTCTTAGGAAACATTCTTGACTTTAGGGGTTTTAGTGTAATTAAGTAAAGTAATTATTTTTCATCTTGAGGACCATTTTGCAATTTAATTTGGAAGATATTTTGGAAAACGACCTTTTCACAATTTTTAGAAAATGTGACAAGTGTTACACTCCCATGGAGCCACTTGTAAACATTGTAATGGAATCACTTGGAGTGTATGATGATACATGGAGGGTGGAGATTCACCCACTTGTTAGCCTAGGATAGGTGCACTTGTTGGCTTGGATAGTTGACAAGTGTAAGCTTAGGATTATGCCTAGGAAGGAGCCGTGGATTAGTGACAAGTGTAGGTTCCAAATTTAGTCTTGCACTTAGTGTGTGTGAAGACCATGGTGTAAGAACACATAGTGAGTGGAGGAATACTAAATCCTCCGCTTACCTCATTTCATTTTATCCTCCTCATTTCGTTTACTCTCATACCCTAACCTAGCCACCATTGAAGCAACGTTTGGCTTAGAGCTTTAAATTTCATTTGGGTCTCCTTCCACTTACCTTAGACATTTAACCTTGGGAAGTGAAAGTTTCCTCTCACTCTTCTTTACATAACCCTTGAAGGGTAGATCATTTGGAGCTTGCTTGCCTTGGATTCTAGAGATACTTTGTCTCTAGTGAGGTAGGGGGTGATTTATGTTTATAATCTAAGTGTTTGATTGTTTTTATAGTTAATATAAATTGTTTACATGTCTTTTACTTAATTTTTAAATTAGTAGGTTGTCACACATTGCATGAAATTAAGTTAGGACATGATTTTCTTAAAGGCCATGACTTGATCTATAACTTGTTTTAGTATGAAGTCATTTGGAGTTGTTTTAGAATCTAGAAATTTCATTAATTTAATTTGATTTAAATTCTACTTAATTGTACTTTGCTTGTATTCCATTTAGACTTGATATGTGGTATAACCATGACTTAATCCTTGTTATATATTAATTTGGGATCATTTGAAAACTTTTGAAATCTAAAGAAATTAATTAATTAGTTTAATTAATTTATATTTAATCGTTCTAATGACTTAGTCACGTATTTCATGGAGCTTTTGTGTTTTTATCATGTATCATGACTTGTTGCAACTTAGCTTCATTAATGTAGTTAATGAACTTGCACCCTTACATTGGAATGATTTAATTGTTCAAGTGTTGTTAAATAAATAATTAAATTATTAATCTTATACTAGTGGTATATTTACATCAATGGATTCCTTGTGCTATAAATACTAGTTTGTAGTCTATGTAGATGCATAGTATGATTTCTTGACATTTCACATGCCATTATAATTGAGGACTTAGGGTATGACTTATGTGTTTCAAAATCTTAGTTGTGCATGGAATGTGGTTTAATGCATTACTTGTATCTTGATACACTCTTGGTTGCACAACTTGTTGATTTTAGAGACTTGGGATATCATCTAGAACTTGACTTGGCTAGGACTTGGTTCTAGTACGGGAGATAGAGAGCTCCCTGCACTATAGTGCACACTAGGGGAAGGTACTCATGGGTTAGTAGCCCTAAAGTGATCCCAAGAGTACGGTTTTAATTTGGGCGATATCCAAGTATACACATTGGTTGATTTCACTATTTAAACTTCAAGGTGTATTCCTTAAAGGTTTAAATCTTGTCATGTTGTCTCGATTATTCTAATCTTGTTTAATCTCATAGATATTTTAATTCATATGCCTTATGCTAATATGACTTAGTTGTGATCCTATAGAAACATTTTAACGTAGACTTTAGGTGGCATGACCCCTTCTGAATTGTTCCATATTAATGTGATAATTTTGTAAAAAGATAGGTCTATGCATGCTCATTCCCTAAAAGTAACTTGTTTACTCATCCCAAAGTTATTGGGTTATTTTTTAGGTAAATAAGCACTTTTCTTGGATGATTGATATGTTTAGCCTATTTTGATTGATGTGTTGTGTACACACGCTTTTGGTTATTATGGAAAGTGTTTAGTATATGCTTTATAGTATTATTGATATCTAAGGACTTGTGAATTATGTTTTTGGAACAAGCGATATGTAATGAGGCTTAGAGCCATTATAACATGATTCAATATGATATTTATACTTGTTGTTGTGTCCATATGTTCATTCATTCATAGAAGTTAGATTTTGACTCTTATGTGAGGTAGAATGAATCTTATAGGTTTCGTAGTATGATTTTTATGTTCAATAGAGTATCAACAGGTTTTTGAGGCATTTCGGTCTACCGAAGTGGCATTTTGGTCGACCGGTACATATTTTGAATTATATTTGAATAGTAAACTCCAATTCCAGTAGCCGAATCCACTGTTTGAGGCACAACTGGTCGACCGGTTCACTACTTCGGTTGACCGAAGTATCTTCCAACTTTTCTTTTTTTCAGGGTCAATTTCGGCCGACCGAAATGGCAATTCGGCCGACCGAAACACCACAGTCTCAGATACCTGGTAGCTTGTTTAACAACATTGTTTTTCCAACTTCAAACGAGTATATCTCATTCGTTTCTAATCCAAATGGGGTGATTCTTTAACTCAACTCAAGGATTTTGAGTAAGCTTCCTAATGGTACCAATTCCATTCTTAGATTCTAACCATAGTGAAGGTTATTCATGTTTTAGTGAAACAGTGCTAGATTCTACTTGAACCAGGAATGGGGGTCTTGTGGGATTCTTGGCCAATTGTCTTAGAACCGCTTGGAACATTGTTATAAGATTATATTAGGTTGAGTAAACCTTTTATCTTTTACTTTCGCATTTTGGATTCATTACCGGGTTAACCTTCGGGTCTTCACTGACGCACTGGGTTATAAAAACTAGGGTCGTCACAGGTGGTGTTAGAGCTCTTAGGTTCAAAAAGCTTGGACAATGGGTTTTGGGTGCATATCATGTTTTCGTTGATTTGCTTTGATATATTTATATGCTACTTACTAACCTTTTTTTGGGTATTATAACATGTTTACATGCTTAGTTTGATAACATGTCTATGTGCTTACGCGGCAGTATGTCTAGGAATCTACCTTAACTGTTTTAGTTTGATGTATATGCTTGTATATTTTAGCATGATTGTATGTTGCATACATTTCCTGCTTCTATTGTGTGATACTTGTTTCATGCATTCATGGCGTGAGTTGCATTAGGTTTTAACGAGTTGTGTTGTTATTGACCTTATCCCTTCTGTGTGTAGCACCAAGGTTTTGACTCGAGGAGAGTTTTCTCATTACGTTAGAGTGGATGAATAGGTTGAGGACACAGAGTTTGTTAAGGATTTTCCTAGTAGGGTTAGGGCTCCAGCTCAGGGTGTGGATGCTAATCCACCTCGAGTATATGTTACTGAGGAGCAGGTTGCAGACACCGGGCTCACACGGGGTCCAGGGAGGCCTAGGACTTGACATAGTGGCATGAATCCTAATCCACCACGAACACTGACTTATGTGGAGTAGATCGCAAAAGGAGTGGCTATGGGCATGTCAGAGTCCATTCAGCAGATGTTTTATGATCGGTTGAGAATTCGATCTATAATAAATCAGCCTTCGCAATAGCACGAATCATTGTAAAATAGGGCTATTGGTCGGGTAAGTCGAACCACTGGGATTGCGCTAATCTATGGCAACCTAAGTGTCTAGAGTCTTTTTAGAATGATATGGGGTGTTCATAGAGGATTTGTTAGTTGTCGCTTAAGCTATGAAATTAAGATGCATAAAATAAGAGGTTGCAAGAATTTAAAGGAGATGAAATACAAGTAAAGAGGACTAGGGAAGTGAATTTACTCCAACCTTTTGCACATGCAAAGAATATGATTGATTTAGGGAATTAATATATATATGTGACCATGATACATAGCAACACATGGTTACTACAATATCTTCAAGAAATTCAAATAATCACAAGGTAAGAATAACCTATCAAAGCTTCACATGCTTGAGTTACCTAGATTATGGTGTAAC